CCAAGCTCCCCCCACTGCACCATGGAGCCCTGGTTCAGGGCAACCAGGGCAGCCACCCTCCCAGCCTCTCCTAGGGCCAATCCAGCTTGTGGAATGTTTGCTGTACCCGCTCACCCAAGCGCCAGGAACTATACTCACCTTTTACCAACAAGGAAACTGAGGCTCAGAATGGTGAACGTACCCTGGCCGGGTAGTTGCCGTTTAGGGCATCGTTGTGATATTTCAAGGTTGTGGGTTTGATCTCTGGTCAGCCAGTGAATGCATAAGTAAGTGGAACAACAAATCAATGTTCCTCTCTCTGTCCCCCTTCCTCTCTCTCTTTAAATCAATCAATACATATTAAAATAGAAAGGAAGCCGAATGGACTAGTCCAGAATTGTACAACTGGTGAGACCTGGGATTCAAAGCTAATGCGAAAGCTTTCCCTCGATTTCCAGAGACCTCAAAAGAAGGGGGACCCTCGGCTCAGAGGACGTAATCATAGGCTGGAGAGAGCAGTGTCCCCTTGCTGGTACCCATTCTGTGGTGTAAGTGTCCAAGGACTCGCACCCCAGGGGCCCCCCAGGCCAATCCCACTGTTCTGGGCATACCTTCTAACAGGATCGCAAATGCTGGGGGTGTGGGGGAAAGGATCCCCAGGCAGGGTACCTTGAAGACAGTAAGACCTCCCAAACCACAGCATGGTAGGCCCAGGAGGAAGGTTGTTTCAATGAGGCAGCAAAGAAGGCCAGTGGGGGGTCACCCTGACCTGGGTTTGAACTCCAGCTGAGATGTTCCCCCTCTGTGTGTGCGCAGCCATGTTAACTGAACTCTCTTTGCCAATCTACCTAGCTACAATGTTGGGATAATACCAACTTCAGAGCGTAGCTACAAAACATGTCACACCTCTAGCATACATAGCTCCTGGAACATGGTATACACTCAATAAACAGTAATAGCAGTCATTTCAATCAGCGTACAAGGGTTCATCATTCAACTTTGTTTTTGCTTTCATAGCTTCCTGATCCCACACCTCCCTTCACCCAAGCTGTCTCTGAACAATTCTTTTGGCTTTATATCTTTGCTTATGTTTTATCTTTTTTTCTGAAACACCACCTCCTCCCCTTTCTGTGGGCCTAAATTTTATCCATCCTTCATGACACAGCCTTTTCCACATCTTTCTCAGAGAAGAAACTGAGCTGCAATGAAGCAGTCATTAGTCACGAAAAGTACGAGGGACCAAGAACCAGGGCTCCAAGCTCTGGAAGAATCTGAGACCTTGGGATAAGGGTACCTGCTCAACTACCTTCAACTCATCACCTCCCACCCGCCTACCTCCCAGCCACCAACGTCATGTGCCCCACCTGCCTACTGACTCACCTGTATTACTCAGGACAGGCTCTCTCTGCCCCAACAGGGCCAGAGCTCATCTGGCCATTGCTCTCTTTTCTCTCCCTATTTGGCCTTCTATTGGATCAACTTAGCACTTTTTATCTCCTCCTTGGTTGACTTATCAGTGATAACTCTATGCTGTTTTGTTTTTGCTTTAGAGTTTGTAGCACACATATTTGTCATAGCCAACTTTTAAATGATGCCACACCACTCGTTTTTTAAAGAGATTTTCACTAGGTAAAAGGTTCTAGGGTGATAATTCTTATCTTTCAGTACTTTAAGATGTTGTGAGACTATTTCTGGTTTATGTGAAAATCTATGTCTCTTTTCCCCCTAGTCTTTTAAGAGATTTTTCTCTTTATCTCTTGATTTGAGCAATTTGATTATGAAGAATCTTGGTGTAGTCATCTTCATGTTTCCTGTGCATGGGGTTCATTGAATTTATTGAATATCTGGGTTTGTCATTTTTATCTAATTTAGAAAATAACTGGCCATTAGTTCTTAATTTTTTTAAAATAAAACTATCTTATGATTCAGAAATTCCAGTTCTGGGTACATATACAAAGGAAATGAAAACAGGACCTGAAAGAGATACAACCTCAGTGTCTGCTGACAATAAATGGATAAGAAGATGTCATATCTTCATTGTGTGTGTGTAATTACATTGAAATATTACTCAGCCACGACAAAGAAGGAAATCCTGCCCCTGAGAACAACATGGGCAGACTTGGAGGGCATTATGGGAAGTGAGATATGTCAGACGGAGAAACACAAATACTGTATGATCTCACTCACACGTGGAATCTAAAAAGGCAAACCCGTAAAACAAAGTAGAATGGCAGTCACCCGGGGCTGGGGAGGGGCCAGACAAGATGTTGGTCAATGGGTCTGAACTCCTCGTTTTGAGATGAGTGAGTTCTGGGATCTAATGTGCAACATGGTAGTTATTGTTAATAACATTGTATTATACACTTGGAAGTCACTAAGAGAGACCTTAAATGTTCCAGCCACGAAAAGGTAGCTACATGATGGGATGAAGGTGCTGGCTACAGTCACACGGCTAAGGTCAGTTACGGTGGTGGTCATGTTGCAGCATGTACGCGTGTCAGCACAGCACACTGTGCTCCTCACACTTCCACGATGTTACACGCCAGCTGCATCTCAGTAAAGTGGGGAAAGCGTTCCTCCACCACCCTCCCCTCCCCTCTCCTCCAGGGACTCCATTCACACGTACGTACGTTAGGATGCTGGGAGTTGCCCCATGGCCCACTGCTGCTGTCTGTAGTCTTGGTGCACTTTGTGTTTCATTTTGCATAGTTTCTATTGCTCTGCCTTCCAACTCACTAGTCTTCTCTTCCATAACATCTAATCTACCTTTGGTAACATCCAGTGTATTTTTTAATCTCATACATTGTAGTTTTCATGTCTATAAGTTCAATTTGAATTTTCTTTGTATTTTCTATGCCTCTACTTAACATTTTAATATTTCATCTGTCTCCCTGAACATATGGATCACAGTTCTCATAACTGCTAAGGTCCCAACCTACTGATTTTATCATCTATGTAATTTCCAGGTAAGTTTCTATTGATTGATTTTTCTCTTCATCATGGATCATGTCTGCTTCTTTGCGTGTCTGGCAATCTTTGAGTGTATGCAAGACATTTTGAATTTTACCTTTTTGGGGTACTAGATGTTTTTGTATTCTTATACATGTTTGATTCTTGCTACAGGGCATGATTAAGTCACTTGGAATCAGTTTAAGTCTTCAGATATTGCTTTTAAGCTTTATTCTATAGGACCAGAATAGTGTTTGTTCTGGGGCTAGTTTTTCCCCACTACTGAGGCAAACTGTTCTGTAAATTCTATCTGTTGTCCTGTGGATTATGAATTTTTCCTCTCTGAATGCTGAGAATGGGCATTATGTCTGTCCCTTTGTGAACTACGGGGTTTTTCCTCTGGTCCTTTAAGTGACACTTTCCTCTGCTTTGTGAAATTTCCTTATATACATGCATGGCCAGTACTCAGCTGAATATTCCAGAGAACTTATGCAGATTTCTTGAGCTCTCTCTGTGCAGCTCCTCCTCTCTGATGATCTGCCCTGCAAACTCAAGTCCCTTTGGTCTCCCAACTCTATCTTCTCAACTTGAGGACACTGCTAAACTCTCCCTGGGTTCCCCTCCAGGTGTTAAGCTGGGGCTATCACAGGGTTCATCTCATTTGCTTCCTATCTTTCAGGACTGTTCTTCACGGACTAATATCCAATGTTTTAATGACATTGTTTCTTGGACTGGGTTGGTCAAAAAGTCCATTTAGTTTTTTCTGTAAAATAGAAGACACACTTTTCATTTTCACTAATAACTTGATTTATTTGGATTGTTAGAGTATGTTGGCTATCTCCCATGTGGTACAATGTTCATTGTTCTCAATTAATGTCTTAATTTGATCACTATCAACTTTAACTTGTCTACTTGACCGTGGAGCATTGTCCAGCGAGAAATCTCCAGCACAAAACTTGGCAAACCATGTTTGACATGTTCGATCACTCACAGCACCTTCTGCATACACTGCACAAATCTTTTTGTGTGTTTCAGTTGCATTTTTACCTCTCTTGAAGTAATAAAGTGTAATGTGCTGAACATGTTGCATATTTTCTTCCATCTTCAGTATTAAAATGGCTACACAAAATTCACCAGTTTTGACTTTTTTAAAATGCATGCTGATGTGACAACTGTCACAATACAATCTAACAAAATTGGTTTGAATGAAGTTAAAGACAACTAAACACTACTAGGGCCTTCTTACAGAAAAGAACAAACAAACTTTTTGGCCAACCCAATGTTTGTCCAGGTTTTTAGTTATTTTGGGTGGAAGTAAATCTGGTCTGTTAATCCATCTTCATCAGAATCAGAAGTCACAAATATTTACCTTTTGATATTACACATTTAAAATGTCCATTAGTGACCCAAGAGGAGATGTACATCCCCAAAGGCTTTGTGGGAAGCCCACATGTTCAGTCCGTGGTGCCTGTTTTCTTGGCACTTGCTGCCAACACCTTGGCTGCCAACAGACAGGACACCCCAGGAGGTTCTGTGTGCAGGGGAATGTGGGCATCAGGCTTGCCTCCACTGCTCCGCCATGGCCACTCTGATGATTAAGTCCTGAATAGTCAAAGCTGTTTTTTGGTTCAGGCTTGTGGAAGCTTACAAAGTTTAATTCCTCCACACACTTATAGGGCTGCCAATCTATTTGCTTTCAGTTTCATGTATTAATCATGACCAAGGTTCTTTCCTGGTCATAGAACTCAAATCTCAATGTGCTTTCTCATTCCTTGGCTTGCTTCTCTCTCCATGTAAAGGCAGCTACCTTAAGCACATCCAGCTTGAACAAAAAGGCCAAAATTACAATGTTTGCCCTGAGTGTTTTTTTTAACTTACCAATTTGAGAGAGAGAGAGGAAGGGTGAGAGGGAGGGAGGAGGGCAAGTAGGGGGAGAGGGAGAGGGAAAAGCGGAGATGGGAGAGAGAGAGAGAGAGAGAGAGAGAGAGAGAGAGAGAGAGAGAGAGAGAAGCATCAATTTGTTGTTCCACTTATTTATGCATTCATTGATTGATTATTTGATTCTTGTATGTGCTCTGACTGGGGACTGAACCTGAAACCTTGGTGCATAGGGATGATGCTCTAACCAACTGAGCTACCTGGCCAGGGCTGCCCTGAGTGTTTTATTCAATTAATTCATTTTACTAAGCCTTTGTTGCTCAAAGTTTTTAAAAATCCCATTTCTTCTTACTTAGGGCTTTAAAAATATCAACCTTTCCCTTCCTTCCAGTTGCCAAGTTTCCAGAATCTCTCAACTTTCTTTCATTTCTACTTTTATACTGGTGAAGTCTTTCCTGAATATATATGACCATGGCAATACCTTGTCATCACAGCCAGTGACAGCTACACATACTGAGACTCTGCGCCCCATCTTTTCCCCTGGTACCTAGGACTCATTAGGCAAGTGGTCTTCTCACATTTCAAAAAGCGATCATTTCATCAAATGGTTTTCTCTAATAACATGGATCTCTATTCCTCCAGCCCCCAGTATAGCCTCCTCACTGCTTACCACCTACTACTAAGCCAGTGTCACAGATTGTAGGATTTTATTTCAGCAAGACACCACTTCCTTTACCAATTTCTGCATCAGTCAGGGTGGACTAATGGCTACAACAAACCTAAATCTCAGTGGCTTCCCCCCACACATAAACAAAGTGGGTATTCCTGGTTGGGTGGACCCTTCCACCTTGTGGCTTCTCCATCGCCTTGGGGACCTCTGCTGAGCCCTCTGCATTCAGACTGCAACCTCACACACAGGGAGAGCAGCTGTGGAGATTGAGGGAAGTTCCAGAAGCTGGGCCAGGAAGTGACATCCCAGTGGCCAGAACTAATCGTATGGCCCCATCCAGAAGCAAGGGGCACAGGGAAATGCAGCCTTCTTATACACCTGCAAGGAAACGTAAATGCCTTGGTGACAACTTGGTGACTACCCAGCACTGTCAAAGTGCCTACCTTCACACCCACTGACCTGCCAGCCTTCCCATCTCCTAGCAGCCATCTACTCACCTGCTGAGTACTGACACCTTCGAGGGTGGGATGGAGTGGTAGCCAGCCACCCAGTGCTACAGGATATGTGTGGCTGCCCCTAGGCCTGGAAGCCTCTCTCCTCCAATTCCCTGGCTCTTTCTGCCACCCTCTCTTCTACCATTTGCACCATATTGTTCTGCCCTCCATTCCTTGTTCCTGTGTACATGGCCTTTTCCCACTTTAGAGAGGAAAAATGGGTCTCAGACAGGGCGTGGCTCTGCAGTCACTAGTAAGGGTGTATGTACCTGGAGCAGAACCAGACCTCTCAGCCCCAGTTCCTCCTCTCAGTACAGAACTATCCTGCTGCCAGGCTAGGGCAGAGGGTGAAGCAGAAGAGAGAGGTCGCTCCAATGCTGGGGACCAGAGGGGGAGCCTCTGACCTTGGCCTCTCAGGTGCCCACTCTAGTCTGACACCAAACTGGGCTTCCCCTCCCCCATATAGAAGTGCATTGCCAGGCTCCATGCAAGTGGGCATCTGCATCTAGGACCCGACTAGGACCCCCTTGGCCTTCTCCAGCTCTCATGTCCACATCATTCTGAGAACTGACTGTCCGGCAGAGGGCCTCCTCCTTCCTCACTTAATCCAGCACAAGTCAGCAACATGCCGAACAATTTACCAGCACAGCATCTGGCTGGCTGTACCGGCAGCTTCACGGTGCCTATGGATCCTACCAGGCTGCTGTCAGTGCTGCCACAGGGTCCTGTGGCTGCTCTCTGGACCCTGAGACCTCCTCATCTGTCCCTCTACCTCCGACGCCTAGCAAAGGGTCAGTGAATGCTCATTGAAAAGATGAGTGAATTGGTCAATGAATGAGGATACCCACACATGCAGGGCCTCTGTTACATGTGTGTGGAACTTGTCTCCAGCCATTGAAAGTTGGGACACAGCAGAACAGATCTGAGAGCTGGAAGACAATGTGGAGAGGGAGGGCAGCCTCTAAGGGTGGGTGACGTGGTGCCCTGTGTGGAGTGGGCCTTCGGCTGGAATTTAAAAAGCCTCACGGACTCCTTGCCCAAGCAAAAAGTTCTGTGGCAGAACTGCTCTCACCAATACCTTTCCCTTTGGGCTCTGGCATAGAGCCCTCTCTCACCTAGCAGTTCCTTAATTACTAAACCATCATCAAATGTATTGAGTACCTAGTATGCACCTGGCACCTGGTGCAGAGGATCCAGTATGGTCTGCACAGGCCCCACCCTCATGGACCATCCAGCTAATAAGCCGGCAAGTCATTAACTGCCCACATACAGCATGAGAACACACATAACCCTCTGTCTAAGAATGAGTCACCTCTATGTTTATCTTGCATGGCAGTCAGGATTATTATGTGGACAGGCAGCGTTTTCCAGTTTTCTTCCTGCTCATCCCTTTCCTAGAACAGGTGTCAAACTTACTTCCCTTCTGTGGCTTTGGCCCTTACCATGCTAGGCTGATGGGATAACAGGAGGTATTATCTTGAGTACAGTAAATAGACGTAAACTAGGATAAAAGGAGGCACCTACCATGCATCAGTCCTGCTTGTCTGTATCACATGGTCCACAGCCAGAGCTGTACTCCCAGGCTGTCCCAAGGCCAGCTCCCAGCAGAGGACAGGCAGGGAGCAGGTCAGCAGGAGGGATGCCCCTGGGGATGCCACAGGAGTTTGTTGACCTGTGGATGCACCTCTATAAGCCTGGCCCAGGAAGGGGGTGGTCCTTCATCCCCCACCTCTGTGTGCAAGACCACACTCCTCCCTGGTTTGTCCCCTCATGAGCTCCATCACAGGGAGAATCTGACAGCTGGAGCAAAAAGACCATGAGAGGAGCACAGAGTGGACTGTGGGAGAGTTGAGAAGATGGGGGTGTCAGAAAGCAGATGCATCCCAGGTGGCTTGGTGGAGGCTGACAGTCAGTCAACCCAGTCTATATATTCTGTATAGACTCCAAATATGTCCAATGCGAAGGCATAGCCACGGGGTCACCAGAGTAATTCTGTTACCATCTGACTTGTTGACACTTGACCAAAAGAAGGACCCAAACAAGTCCCTCAGTGCCATGATTAGATCTATCTGGAAATCTTTTCACTGCTTGGGTGGTATCACAAGATGCCAAGAGCTCACAAGAACCACCTGAGGGCAAACTTCTCCAATGAGGGGCCATGATCACCAGGAGTGCTGGTACTCAGAGCTGTGACTCACAGTGCCTGACCTAACAGAACTCCTGGCAATACTCTTGTGGGGGCCATGGAATGGAATGGGCTCGGGTTGAGGCTGGCTTTAATGCAGTGTAGGTCAAGATGGCTTTTGTGAAATAGATAAGCCTTTGAGCTTTAGGTCTCCCCAGAGGAGAAGGAGATACTCGTAGTTTTACTACAGTGTCGTGGAAATCCAGACATCAGTCAAATCTCTTCAAGTTCATGAGCTGGACTGGTCTCTGTCTCCATCCTTTACATGGCAGCCACGCTCTGACAAAGGTCTCAAACACAGGCAGGGGGTAAGATATGAGCCCCTGATATAAAGGGGCTCTCCTTGAAAAAGCCCCACAAAGCCTGGTGGGACTGCCCTCAGACCGAGGGTGTCCTCCTGGTGGTGTCGGTGGCCATTGGGAGGTTTCCCCATCCCTCTAGCTCCTGAGATCATGGCCTGTTCCTCCCGACCACTGCCTCCCTGCCCGCTCTGAACTTTCTCTCGGCCCCAGCCTCACTCTGGGGCAAGCATCAGTTGCTCCCCTCCAAAGGCCTGCTTCAAAACCTGATGCGCAGGAACCCACCCTGCTGCACACAGAGAGACTGACTGGCTCTGTCTTAGCCTGCTGAGAAAAGGTTCCCATGAGGAACCTGAGCTAAAAAAACAAACCAACAACAACAATAGAACCTCTAACCAAAAAGCAAGGCAGCATGCGGTAAGGTTCAAAGTTCTCCCAGGGCAGTACACCCTAAATTTTAACACGCAGGCAATTTCACCCAAGAATGTTGTTATTACTCAGATTCTGACTCAGAGGAACTTCCAGGTTATGCTGATACTGCCAGAATAAAGACCACACTTAGAGTAACAAGTCTGCAAAAGAGCAAAGCCAGTGGCTGGGAACATAGCAGGCCCTTCACTAAGCTTAGCCAAGTGCCACTGGTAAACAACAGGGGAACACCTGGGGCCAAGGAGCCTGAGTCCTCGTTTGGATGGGTGTTCCCTGGGGGTCTTGGCCCTGGTGGTCACAGAACCCAGCTCTCTACTGATACTCAGCCCTCAACTTCTCTGCTTCAACCTGTCTGCCCTTAAACAAATTCTAGTTGGAGGACTTCTCTGTCCCCATTTTTCTACCCTCTGCTTCCCCTCCCTGATTATTAGCTCCTCAAAAGGAGAGACAGATTTACCCATATGATTGATTGGTCAAAACTTAGACCATTCATTGGCCTTCAAGGTCAACTTTGCACTCACCCTCCTCCATTCCCTTGTGTGAACCTGGGCACTTCTTTTCGCCTCCTGACCTTCCCACCTGCAGCGGGGCTAGGCCATTACCTGGGCCTGCTCTGGATACCCAGACATCCTAGATTCACTTGAACCTTGAGGCCTAAGCCTCCTTTGCTAAACAGCTGTTCTCAAAACTGCCGTGCCCTGGAGGATATCAGGTAGTTGTTCAGAGGTTCCTCAACACTCTTTTGGTGGCAAGTGACAAAAACAATCAAACAAAAACCTGACTCATAGAGCTCAAATAATCCAAGGGACTCTTCTATTGTATAACAATCCAAAATGTCTAGGGGCAGGATTGTCCCAAGAATGGGGTGGGTGGGGGGAAGGGGTCAAAGGGCTCCAGGATCAAGAGAAATGATCCACAGAAAGAGAAACGGAGAGCTGCTAGCTGAGTGGGGAGACACCTAGAATCTTTTCAAACACGTCTGATGATGGAGACCTCCAGACTGCTCAGGGTACGTAAGGCACACAGGCCAGGGGTGTGGAGACAGACACCCAGGACCCTAGCACCAGCTATTGCACCAGCTCAGTGAGCTCAGCTCCTCTGCCCTGCATCCTACCACAGCCAGTAGGCACCTGGATCTAGCTGTGCTCCACACCACATGTGCTGTTTCCTCTGCTTAAACATCTTCCTGCCCCAGCCTCCCTTTCTCCTGTAACACTGTCTTACCCTTTAAGGCCCTGTTCACGGCCCTGGATCCCTCAGAGAGTGCCTTGGGCTCAGTTAGCCTGTCCACCCTCCTACCCTCCATCACCATCCCCTCCCCTGGCATCACCTGCATTAGCCCTGATTGTTCCTATGGACCTTTGACAGTCTGCCTCCTTCACCATGCCTGGGTCCTCAGAGAGCCAGCCTGTTCAGTTCATAAGGCTGGGCACAGAACCAAGCACACAGGAGGCATGCATAATAAATGGACAAGGTGTGCTGCAGCCAATCACAGTGATAATTCTCAATCAATAAAATGGATACATTGATATTTTTCCTATCTATCTTCCAGGGTTGTTTCAATATGCAAAAGAGTATTGATGAGTACACAGTGTAGATGGGATACATTTTTCTTGTGATGATTGGAGTATGGGTGGGAGAGCTTAATAAAGTCATTCCATATTGATTTCTGGTCCAAGGCCTCAGTTTCATCTCCCATAAGTCTCCATCCTGTTCTTTCCAGCCTAACTCTCTGATTATCTATTGATATCAGGCTCTGTAATACCTGAGGTCTGGAGCTGTAGAAGGAAGTGGAAATAGAAAAAACTACAGACTGTATTGTTTTGATCTTAATTACACAGGTTAATCAAACCCAAACAATAAGAATATGATTAAGCCCACATTGTTACAGGGCCATAAACCATCAAGAACAATCAAGATGGAACTTCCGGCCAAGATAGAGGCGCAGGTAGATACACTGTGCCACCTTGAACAACCAAAATAAAGACAACAATGATTTAGAAACAAAATAACAACCAGAACTGACAAAATTGAACTGTATGGAAGTCGGACAACCAAGGAGTTAAAATAGACACATTCATCCAGACCAGTAGGAGGGGCGGAGTCAGGCAGCCAGGCAGAGAGGGGTTGCAGCACAAAAAGTGGTGGCATTGGGCATACAAGACTGCAGCAGGTGGACCCTGGGAGCATAGGCAGTGGCTGACAGACCCTAGACCCGGGGTGGCAATGGGCAGACCCAGTGAGGCGGCAATTATGAAGCGAGGCACTGTGTGCAAGGTGGCTGGCTGACCAGGTGGTCCCACATTTGCACACAGATAAACCAGGCAAAACTGGGGAGTGAGACAGACTGCACAACCAGGGTCCCAGCACCAGGAAATAGAGCCTCAGGGCACTGATTGAAAACACCCGTGGGGGTTGAGGTACTGGGAGAGACTCCCAGCCTCACAGGAGAATTCTTTGGAGAGACCCATGGGGTCCTAGAATGTACACAAGCCCACCCACCAGGAATCAGCACCAGAAAGGCCCAGTTTGCTTGGGGAAAGCAGTGGAAAGGACTGAAATCTGACAGTGAGCAAAGCAAGCACCATTGTTCCATATCGGACCCTGCCCCCACATATAGCATCACAACCCAGCAACTGGGTTGTCCTGCCCTGGTGAACACCTAAGGCTCCGCCCCTCACTACAAAACAGGTGCTTCAAGGCAAAAAAAAAAAAAACCCGCTCAAATGGAAGAACAGATCAAAGCTCCACAGCAAATACAACTAAGTGACTAAGAGATGGCCCATCTATCAGATGCACAGTTCAAAGCACTGGTGATCAGGATACTCACAGAATTGGTTGAATTTGGTCGCAACTTAGATGAAAAAATGAAGGCTACACTAAGTGAAATGAAGGAAAATGCACAAGGAGCCAATAGTGATGGGAAGAAAACTGGGACTCAAATCAATGGAGTGGACCAGAAGGAAGAAAGAAACAACCAAACAGAAAAGAATGGAGAAATAAGAATTCAAAAAAATGAGGAGAAGCTTAGGAACCTCCAGGACATCTTTAAACATTCCAACATCCGAATTATAGGGGTACTAGAAGGGGAAGAGGAAGAGCAACAAGTAGAAAAGTTATTTGAACAAATAATAGAGGAGAACTTCCCCAATCTGGCAAAGGAAATAGACTTCCAGGAAGTCCAGGAAGCTCAGAGAGTTCCAAAGAAGTTGGACCCAAGGAGGGACACACCAAGGCACATCATAATTACATTAGCCAAGGTAAAAATGAAGGAGAGAATCCTAGAAGCAGCAAGAGATAAGAGGACAGTCACCTACAAAGGAGTTCCCATCAGACTGTCAGCTAATTTCTCAAAAGAGACCTTGCAGGCAAGAAAGGGCTGGAAAGAAGTATTCCAAGTCATGAAAGGCAAGGACGTCCATCCAAGATTGCTCTATCCAGCAAAGCTTTCATTTAGAATGGAAGGGCAGATAAAGTGCTTTTGAGATAGAGTCAAGTTAAAGGAGTTCATCATCACCAAGCCCTTATTTTATCAAATGTTAAAGGGACTTGTCTAAGAAAAAGAAGACAAAAAGCATGTATACTAAAATGATAGCAAACTCACAATTATTAACAACCACACCTAAAACAAAAACAAAAACAAACTAAGCAAACAACTAGAACAGGAAGAGAACCACAGAAATGGAGATCACATGGAGGGTTATCAGCAGTGGAGTGGGAGGAGGAGAGAGG